AAAAAAAAAAATCTAAGTAGAAAAATAACTAGAAGGAAATGTATCCATAATGTTGGTTATTTGGGTGGTGGAATACCAGGTGATTTTTTTTTTCTCTTTATCTTATAAAATTTCTTGTAAAAAATTATATGTGAAATACATAAAATTTTTCTCATTCGTAACTACGATTAGTAAGTAAACATATGTTTACTGTCAAATTTAACTACATCTTAATGACCATTTAAATATTTCAATATAAAAGTTCTTTTTAGTTACAAAAGAAAAATTTATTTTTGAATGGTGTTAGAAACTGTGTTTTGTTTTCTGAATTTCCATTAACTTTACTTTTTATTCCTTAACCCAATAATTTTAGATTTAATTCAAGATTGGTCTAGTGATAGTGCTCCAGACATTTTTTCATTTGTTCCATATACATGGAATTTTAAAATCATGTTTCATCAATTTGAAATGATTTGGGCTGCTAATCAACGCAATTGGATTGATTGTTCCACTAAACAACAGGAAAATGGTAAGAAGTTTTTAAAAATTAAGTTAAATGTTCTCATGAAATCAAATACCAACAAAGTAAATTAGCATTGATTTTGTAGTTTTAATAGGTACTAGAAGTGATTTTTCCCCCGTTATCTTGTGATACTCTCAGAGCATTATTTCAGAGTTTGTGTTAGACTGAACTGTTGTCTTAAATTTAATTTTGTTTAGGTGTGCATTTTAGGCTACTTTTAAATTTAAATTTTTTTGACATTAAAAGTAAATTTACTTTTTCTTTTTCTTTTTTCTTTTTTTTTTTTTTTTGTAGTGTATCTGGCAGCCTGTGGGGAAACGCTAAACATTGATTTTTCTTTGCCTTTTACGGACTTCGTTCCAGCAACATGTAATACCAAGTTCTCTTTAAGGGTATGTATGCGTTGATGCATTGTTTATTCCACACGGTTTATTAGTAAGTTTGATTTCCAAAAGCTTATCTTTATGCTTCCCTGCCCATCCCATTACCACCCTAAGATATTTTAGCTTTCCTCCAATGTCCACTAACTTTAGTGTCATGGGGTTCTTGCTGTTCCCTCCCCCCTTTTTTTTTTGACCGGTAAGGGGATTGCAACCCTTGGCTGGTGTTGGTCTGTACCACACTCAGCCAGTGAGCGCACTGGCCATCCCTATATAGGATCCGAACCCACGGCCTCGGAGCTATCAGCACTGCACTCTCCGGAGTGAGCCACAGGGCCGGCCCCTTGCTGTTCCCTTTTTGTAGTTAATTACCCCTCAGAAATGGACAATAGAAAAATATCCCCTGAGTTGATTATTTTCTTAGAGCTCATTTATGATCTCTGTGGCTAATCTATAAGTTCTCTTAAGAACCCCCTCTAGCTCTAATGTTTACTACTTATAGAACTAATTTTACACTTTCCTATATTTGATTCCTAATTGTAGCTGTGAATTCCAGGAATAACCACAAGCACATTTCTTTTCTTTTATCTGAAAGCCAACTCCTACATACTTCTAAGCTCAAATTTTGCAAAACATCTAATTTTAGGGTATGGACAATCAGTAGTAATTGCAGTATTAATGGTGATTATGGCGATATAAATAGCAACAATAATAGGAATAGTTAAAATCTATTAAACATTTTCTATGTGCCAGACACTGTTCTCAGTGCTTTATGTGTAGTAACTCATTTATTTCTCAGAACAATCCTCTTGAGGTAGTTGTTATTATCTGTATTTGGAAATTAGAGAACTGAGGAACAGAGTTTAGGTAACTTGTCATGGAGCTAGTGAGTTGCCAAATCGGATTTTGAGCCCAGGCAGTATAGCTTAGGGGTCCATCTTTTAATCACTCTGCTATGCTGCCTGTTAAGAAATGAGCATCAAGATGAACAAAAAATAGAGGATGTATAAAGAAAAAAGTGAGACCAAATGAAATCCGTAAATATGCCAGTTTGGAATTATTAGAAGCCAGTTGAGGAAAGAAGACTTACTATAATCAAAGGAGACAACAGTATTTTAAAAGTTAGTAAAATATAGACCATATTCCACTTAAGTTTATATTAGAGAGGGTTTTGTTTTATTTATTTTATTTATTTATTTTTCTTTTATTTTTTATTTTTTTGTGACCGGTAAGGGGATCGTAACCCTTGGCTTGGTGTCACTCTCACCGTGCTCAGCCAGTGAGTGCACCGGCCATCCCTATATAGGATCCGAACCCATGGCCTCAGTGCTCCCAGCGCCGCACTCTCCCAAGTGAGCCACGGGTTCAGCCCAAGAGAGGGTTTTGTTTTAAACTGAGTTTTACATGAAATATCCATGGATACTTATGGAAGACAATCTTTTCACTGTTATGTGGAAACTATGCTGTTTCTCTTTCCCTATTATTTTTTCAATCCAAATTAGCTTTAGTCACTGTAAAATCTTATTCTGTTTATATACCTGACTGTTCAATATAAAATCTGCCATTTAAAATTTATTTTCTATGCAAAAAAAATAATAATAATAATAGGGCCGGCCCGGTGGCGCACTGCTACAGTGCGCCGCTTGGGAGCGCGGTGGCGCTCCCGCCGAGGGTTCGGATCCCACATACAGACCGGCCGCTCACTGGCTGAGCGAGGTGCGGGCGGAACGCCGAGGGGTGCGATTCCGTTGCCGGTCCTGGTCCAGTATGGGCGCGACACTGAGGGTTGCGATCCGTTGCCGGTCACGAAAAAAGACAAAAAGGGAAAAAAAAAATAATAATAATAAATAAGTTAAATTTAGTTTCTTTCAAATTTA